TGCTTGCCTGCCTGAACCCGACAAATAGGATAAAAAAAGCACGTGGCCAGTTTGCACGCTCGCTCATGCTCGCTCTGTAGCTGCGACTTCCCCCCACTGCGCTCTGCCTGGACTACTTCTCTGTGCATGGGGATGGTGGTAGAGCTAAGTCCGTCTGCGGCGCCACTGGTTAACCCATAGTTGTAGCTGTAGGCCCTGCTCTCTGACAGCTGAATGCACAAATATGCTGGGCTCTATGCTTCACTTATCCGTTAATCAAGGACTGTTGTTCCTGCTTAAAATGTATGTGCTACTTTTTGAAATGCAAGCATTACACACTCCTTGAAAGAACTTTGTGGACCACAGATTAGAAATTCACGCTTTATTTACTTGAGGCTGGCAGAGCTGGCTTCTTACAAAAGGGTTCCCTGAAAGGCAAAGCATGTCACTGCATTTGGGTAAAATGGTGGAAAATGTTATCTTGGCAATATATACGGCCTGTGTAATTGATTATATTACAGCTCATTGCTAATTACGTGCTATTCATACCTTAAAGGTGCAGTAAGTAATTTTTTTGTTTTGTTTAAAACAGTTCTAGTCCTCACAATTTGATTGATTGAGTGGCACTCCATCTGCTGGTTGCCTTGAGACTTGAGTCTTCATTTATTCTGCGATTTGTCAAAAACACTGATTTATTCAGGAACAAAAAAAAATTGACTCTCTTTGAGTGAATCACCGAATCATTTATTTAAAGATTCATTCAAAAGCAATGATTAATTCAAGAAGGAAACAAGTGTCTGTAAGTGAGTCACTGAATCATTTTCTCAACCGATTCATTCAAACACACTGAATTATTCAGGAACAAAACAAATGATTGTCTATGAGTGACTCATTGAAACATTTACAGAACCAATTCGTTTTGTTAAAAAATAGTGATTCATCCAAGTACTAAACAAGTGACTGCCTTTGAGTAAGTCAATAAATCATTTAGTAAATCCGTTCAACAACTGATTTATACAGAAAAGAAACAAATGACCATCATTATCAGAGGGTCATTGCTGATATAGGAAACAACAATGTGATGTTGTAGAATTTTACAGCTTCAACCATGACTCATCCAATCAGAATTTACAGTAGAAACTCCTGTTTTATAAAATGGCATACAAAGATTATTTGAACAAATTGCTAAATATATACACTGTTAAATACCTTGTATGGGAAGATGAGTCAATGAGGTAATTCATAGCCTAATGCTTTATAGGAATAGACAGTCACTGTTTAACATGTTTGCTTGTGTCTGTTTACATTGTAATAATGATTTCACTGATTGATAGATATTGTTTGAGGGTTGTGGGTAGTTTAATTATTCACTGGGAATTTGGTAATTAATGTTCAAATGACTTGGTAATTAAAGAAAAAATGACTCAGTGCACCTTTAAACTTTGGAAAAGCACAAGCACATTCAAACAAGTTTTCAGTACAGTAGTATCCAAGAGGACACAGACATTGGTTCTCATTATTCTCTGTTTCATGAGCTGCAAATATTGTTAATAATATTCTGTGTGACCAACTCTTGCATAATGATGCAGGCACTGCATAAATACTCAAGTGAGCAACTGTCACTGGCTGAAAAGTGTTAAACGGTCATCAGTGGTAATGCAGGCTATCGCCAAACGCCAGTTGTTTTATGAAGTATTTATGAATGTTAACTATCGGGTAGTTTCTTATTCCTTTTATGTATTTGGGGTTGAAGTAATCAAAACATTAAATGTGTTTTTTTTTTTACTTTTAAAGTCAACATGAAAGGGAAGTTTTTAATATTTGAATACTCAATGGGAAAATGTCGAGTGGGAGCTTGTTTTTATGCATCAGAAATTGATTGGATTGGGAAATTGGCATTTTTATGACAGGTGGTGTGATTAGAGGGTTTATAAGCCGAAAAGAACAGTTGTTTCAAGGGGGATGCAAGTTATTAGATTTTGATGAAAGATAATGAATCATGCTCAGTAAGACCAGAACGTGTATTAAGAAGGCAAACAAGGTCAATTCTGATTTCATGTTGACTTTAAAGCATGTGCAGATGAATGTAAAGGAGATTTTGGCTTACCTCAGAACTTTATTCATGTTTCTTTTTAAAGACACACACCTGTGTCTGTGTCAGTAAGGATTAAGGTCATGCTTGAGTCTCACTGCATCTGGTCAGAGCTTTTCATATCAGCTTCTGTCGTCACAATGGCAGTGGCATAAGGCAATGCGTACCATAAAATCTCTACATATGTAAACAGCCCTATCTTACATAAAAGGTTGAAATTAAAGGTAATAGCTTATAGGAAAACCTGCACTGCTTAGAGAGTTGCTGTGAGCTTTGTTCAGACAAGCAGAAAAAAATCCCATTTTTTGGATGTGTATCCAGACCGTAAACCTGTGTAGTAGGTGAAATCCAGTTTTTCACAAACCTGACTCACACTTATAATCACACTTATATATTGTTTGAAATCCAATTCAATTCAGATTCTTTAAAAAATATGTTTAGTCTGTTTTTTTAAGCACCACAGGAGCTGAGGCAAAATTTTCCATAAAAATATTGGGTTATTACTATGGGTAAACTAGAAATGTTTCGGGCCCTGTGAGGGGGAACTACTAAGGTCCTTTATGGTACAGCCTTCTCAAAGGGTCTGTGGGAGGGTGGGCCCATTAATAATAAAAAAAAATAAAATAAAAAAATATATACAGTATATATATATATATATATATATATATATATATAATCTGGGCCTCTTGAATGTTAGCAACATTTCACAGTTTTGTGGAAGAAATTCTCTTGGGATCATGTGACACTCAAAGGGATATTTCACACCAGCATGAATATTCTGTCATCATTTACTCACGCTTATGTCGTTTCAAGCCTGTATGAATTTTCATCTGTGGAACACAAAACAACATATTTTAAAGGATGTTTAAACTGTTTCTGTCCCGTGTAAAGTGTAGTGTAGCTTTTATTTTTATATTTTCAGTCTTTAATTTGTTTGTCATTTGTTGTACTTTTGTCATGTTTTAAAGGGGTCATATGATGCGATTTCATGTTTTCCTTTCTCTTTGGAGTGT